CGTTTAAAGCACATAAAATCATATTAAAATATATACATTTACAAGTATGTACTGTATTTACAGTACATGCATTCGTAAATTTAGATTACTTTTTTCTGAACTATATTGAAAACTAAAATTTATTTGTTTGTAAGCTTAAAATAGATCCTTATTAACCATACATTATTAAAAATGCATTAATAAATAAAATACAGAACCGGAATTGGCAATTTATGGTTTAGCCTAGTGACAAATAGATTTGGAGACAAGTAAATTCGACTTAAGTCGTTCTCCTGGAACCAATTACTGACATAAGGCAAGGTATACCTGTAGTATTTAGTATTTAAACTACTATTTCTAAATTTTCAAACTCTAGAAGTAATCAAATTTATTCTATTAGTCTTTAAAAATATATAGTTTACAAACATTATGCATATTTAAAATGTTTAAACTAATGTACAGTGTATCATAATATAGCTGTATAAATTCAAAAATGTTCATTTTTTTCTTTCTTGTCAAGTTTTCTCATAATTGATAAAAGTAAAATATCTATGTCACTACACACTAGCATATATTTACATTTAGATAACAGGATGCATAAGTGTTGAAATCAGGATAACATTAAAATGAAATTTCACAAAAGTTCAGTTAGCTTTGTCTTTGTTGCAAAGTGTTGAAGAAATATCATGGCCCTTCTCTCTTTGAAAGCTAACTTTGTTGGTATTAAGATAGATAAGGAAATCCACAATTAGTCATTATTTTCATATTCAATTGTTTCTAATATCTTTGTACCATTTATTTCTTGGTGAAATTTCTTATCTAGTCTTCACCCATTACATCCAGGTTATTAGGAGATAGAATGCAAAAACTGAATTTTATTTTTCATCCTAATTTATTGAGCTTTATAATATTCACTCCACAATATTTTTGAATCAAGATGCTTTGTTTTCACAAAAATTAAATTTCTCCAGCCTGTAAAATTTTTTCTTCTGAACTCTTGCATATAGAAGAAATATTTTGTCACTCTGCAATATCTTAACATTCCAACAATAATCACATCAAAATTTCCTACAATAGAAGTTGCTATATAACACATGAAGCTTATGTAAGATTGTTTTGTAACTTGCTCTTGGATTGATTAGCTTTATATAGAATCATTCCTATTTACAATCTAATTAGGGTTTCTCATTTCCTGGTCTTTTGCTTGTCCCAGGATAAAAGTGAAATGTTTCCCAGGATCCTGGGAAATCCTGAGACAAAATTAATTATTTTTAAGATATACAAAATATCATGAANGGGCTGTGAACGGCTCACATATTTGTAAAATCTATGTGACTCGTACAACATGGAATTCATATAAAACGAAATTATCATCAGTGTTATAGGGGGGTCGACTGGTATGTATCTGGTCCTGAAATTCATGCAAATAGTATAAAATAGATTTTATTAAGTTCCTGTGTGACAAGTTCTTTAAACCAAATTTATACTTAAGCAGAATTAGTTTTGTAATTTTTGATCTTTACTGTAAATATACTTTAAATATTTTACAGCATAAAAATGATAAACAAAACTTATTTTTAAAAATTATGAAAGTGTTTTATTATTATACAGGTATACCTCGACTTACGTCGTTTCGAGTTATGTCGTTTGTCAAAAAAGTATATGGAAAAATAAAAATCAAATTTAAGTCATTTTATTCGACTTTACGTCTGTCCGCCTCAAATATTGAAGTCGTAATATCACTAGAAAAGCGTTTAAAGCACATAAAATCATATTAAAATATATACATTTACAAGTATGTACTGTATTTACAGTACATGCATTCGTAAATTTAGATTACTTTTTTTTCTGTACTATATTAAAAACTAAAATTTATTTGTTTGTAAGCTTAAAATAGAGCCTTATTAACCATACATTATTAAAAATGCATTAATAAATAAAATACAGAACCGGAATTGGCAATTTATGGTTTAGCCTAGTGACAAATAGATTTGGAGACAAGTAAATTCGACTTAAGTCGTTCTCCTGGAACCAATTACTGACATAAGGCAAGGTATACCTGTAGTATTTAGTATTTAAACTACTATTTCTAAATTTTCAAACTCTAGAAGTAATCAAATTTATTCTATTAGTCTTTAAAAATATATAGTTTACAAACATTATGCATATTTAAAATGTTTAAACTAATGTACAGTGTATCATAATATAGCTGTATAAATTCAAAAATGTTCATTTTTTTCTTTCTTGTCAAGTTTTCTCATAATTGATAAAAGTAAAATATCTATGTCACTACACACTAGCATATATTTACATTTAGATAACAGGATGCATAAGTGTTGAAATCAGGATAACATTAAAATGAAATTTCACAAAAGTTCAGTTAGCTTTGTCTTTGTTGCAAAGTGTTGAAGAAATATCATGGCCCTTCTCTCTTTGAAAGCTAACTTTGTTGGTATTAAGATAGATAAGGAAATCCACAATTAGTCATTATTTTCATATTCAATTGTTTCTAATATCTTTGTACCATTTATTTCTTGGTGAAATTTCTTATCTAGTCTTCACCCATTACATCCAGGTTATTAGGAGATAGAATGCAAAAACTGAATTTTATTTTTCATCCTAATTTATTGAGCTTTATAATATTCACTCCACAATATTTTTGAATCAAGATGCTTTGTTTTCACAAAAATTAAATTTCTCCAGCCTGTAAAATTTTTTCTTCTGAACTCTTGCATATAGAAGAAATATTTTGTCACTCTGCAATATCTTAACATTCCAACAATAATCACATCAAAATTTCCTACAATAGAAGTTGCTATATAACACATGAAGCTTATGTAAGATTGTTTTGTAACTTGCTCTTGGATTGATTAGCTTTATATAGAATCATTCCTATTTACAATCTAATTAGGGTTTCTCATTTCCTGGTCTTTTGCTTGTCCCAGGATAAAAGTGAAATGTTTCCCAGGATCCTGGGAAATCCTGAGACAAAATTAATTATTTTTAAGATATACAAAATATCATGAAATCAAATGATATAATTATTTTTCGTTTTTTAAAGTAATTTAATACGTTCTGTAACCTCCAAAATCATATTAATAATGATGTGTAAGATATATATTAAAAATTACCTTTGAATTACGTAGAAATTGTCACAAATAGAAAAAATTTATTAAAGTTTGCTGGAAACTGCATACAACAACAAAAAAATATGCTTTTGTGACTGTAGGGTCGGTGTCTCTTTGACACCACATCAGGATGTGACACCATCGAGTCTCGCAGGGCTCGGAAATCGCAACTTTACGTCACATGAGCGGTTGGGTTCGGAGTAGAGGTGAGGAGAGAGACAAGGAAGTGACTCACTCGGACTCCATAGTAACAAATAAATAACAATTTTAATTATAACAAAAGAAAATACAGATATATTCGATTTCTGGCCATAGCCCCTAATTATACTAGGCCGTTCGAGAGAGAGAGTTTACAAACGAATCACGGGTTGATAAATACCTTTCTTTTGGGTCGAAGATCTGTGGTCAGATGATACTGTTGACGCCGATGGAATGTTTGATAGAATGATTCCGGATCTTGTCCGTTAACAGGAGCACTACGGTGTGAAGGCACGGAAATGGGGATGATATCCTTAAAGAGGCACGGTCTTTGTCACGGGTTGAATTCTGGATTCTTGGTCACGGTATTAATCCTCGAGGAAGACTTTGGTGAACGGGCTTTGGAAGACGACTTACTTCGGGTGTTTTTTTTTTGTTATTCCTCTTGGGTTTTTCCCATGAGGTCAGGCGGTTGTTAAGGGTCTGGCATCCAATATAGGCACTTTATCGAAAGTTCCAGGTGACACATTGCTGACTAGCTGGATCCTCCTCAACAAGGAACCAACTCCGTGGGAAATAAATTTTTATGGCTTTTAGCCTAACTTGATAAAACGCTCTAATTTAGATGATTGAATTTCCCAATAATTAAAATTTAAAATAACACTTTATTAAGGGTCTGTTCGTCCCTCACACTTTGAATTGAGTTAAAAATTTTAAAAAAATGAACTTAGATTAAACTTTTAACTTAGAAGGTAATTTTTGTTTTTTTTAAATAAAATATAATACAAAATATTGTAAATTTTTATAAGATTTTAAAAAGCAAAGATGGTCAATACTGCGATCACTCAATCTAATTCTTATTTTAGTAATGTAAAGTCTTGCTACTTAGAATGCCCTTTCCAATTCAATTGATGCGAGTGGAATCGTGTTTAATGCATTTAATAGAAGACAAATATTATGCGTTTTTCACCTGTATCCTGAAAGATATCTAGTTCATTTTTGAGATTGTAGTATTGTAGTACTTCTTTTGTTCTCTAGTATTCTTGATTTGTCTTCCTCAACTGCTTTAATATAAATATCATAGCCAAATAATTCAGCAGTTCGTTTGTCTTTTAATAATCAGGTTATGAAAAAAACTTCATACTTTCAGACTTTGTACTCATTTGTATCCTTGCCCAATTTGCACAACCTAGCATTATGCAGTTATTGAAGCTACTGGGCATAATTAAAAATTAAGACAGCATAAGCACAATTATCCCAGATATTACAGGTAAAGAATTTTGAGTCCCCTGCCACAAATAAGATATGTATTGATTATTAACCATTTGTGACATGCCATAATGAGCAAAAATTTAAAAAAATCTAATAAATACAAATGTACAGTTATACCTAAACTTACGTCGTTTCGAGTTACGTCGTTTCCGATTGTACGTTGTTTGTCAAAAAAAGTATATAGAAAAATAAAAATCAAGTTTGTCATTTTATTCGACTTTACGTCTGTCCGCCACAAATATTGAAGTCGCAATATCACTAGAAAAATGGTTAAAGCACATAAAATCATATTAAAATACTGTACATACATTTACAAGTATGTACTGTATTTACAGTACTGTACATGCATTTGTAAATTTAGATTACTTTTTTCTGTACTATATTAAAAACTAAAATTTGTTTGTTTGTAAGCTTAAAGTAGATCCTTATTAACCATACATTATTAAAAATGCATTAATAAATAAAATACAGAACCAGAATTGGCAATTTGTGGTTTAGCTTAGTGACAAGTAGATTTGGAGACAAGTAAATTCGACTTACGTTGTTTTTCGACTTAAGTCGTTTTCCTGGAACCAATTACCGACGTAAGGCGAGGTATACCTGTATTCTGACAGTTTGAGTTAATTATGCTTTCTATTTGCAAAATTTCCTCAACCTTAACACAAAATAAGAAAAAAGTGAATTTTTAAGAAATTTGCGGGATTTTCCGGGATATTTCCCAGGTTAAAAAAACAACCAGGATCCCGATATCCTGTTTGAGAAACTCTAAATCTAATAGTGTTTTAGAAAGACAGTCAAAATCTCCTAGAATTGATTGATTGGTTGAGATTAATTTGAACTAGATGATAAAAATTGTATATTGGGTAGGAAACAAAATGTTTTTTTAACCTAAAATTAGTAAAGGAAATGTCAGAATAATTCAAAATATTTTCACTGTTGTGAGAAAACTGTGCATGATAGAAAATAGGCAATTTTTTTGCATTCAGAAAGAAATTAGCAAATCACCCAGAAACTAGGCAGACATATGTATATATTAATTCCATCTTTAAAAACTTTTATACAAAATTGTGGACTCTAAAATACTTCATGAATATTGAAAATATCAATTACCAAAAAGTAAACATAAAAACTTGAGAGAGATCATGGGTTAAAATTTCAACATATTTCTCATTTTAAAAATTAATGTTTTTAGTATTAAAAGTTAAAAATTTTGAAATGTTTGTACAGTATACTAAAATAATTTTGGTGAAATAAAATTTATTTTTCTGATATAGACTNACATAAAAACTTGAGAGAGATCATGGGTTAAAATTTCAACATATTTCTCATTTTAAAAATTAATGTTTTTAGTATTAAAAGTTAAAAATTTTGAAATGTTTGTACAGTATACTAAAATAATTTTGGTAAAATAAAATTTATTTTTCTGATATAGACTCTGACTGCTGCCTTCAGGAATTATGACACTGACCACGATGGCTGGATCACCATTGCCTATGAAGATTTTCTAAATCTAGTGTTCAGTTTACAAATGTAAACTATTTACACCAAAAATCAAAAGATTCATTCCATTCTATTGCCAACTGTATGAAAGCCTTAAATTTTCTAAGTCACCTTTTTATATAAAATATTTATCTGTATATAATTTTACGTTTACATTATCATTAGTCCCTTAGGAATGTTGCTGTAAAAGATATTTTAATTAAAAATTTAAAGTATAAGTAAAGTTTTCACAATGAATGAAAAACTGTAAAATGCATAAAATTTATTTAGAATATTTTATTTGAATGTTATGAAAAATAATTCTGAACTCAAATTTTCTTTAGGACAAATGTTAAATGTAAAATTTCTTGTCAATTAAAACTCTGTAAAATGATTGATTTTATAAAATGCTCAGGAATTATGCATATTTGAAATATTCAAATTTGGCAAGGGATAAAACACAATAAAAAATTTAACTTTTTGTTTTGTTTCTCTTTAATTTGAATTGGACAGTTTACATATAAGCTGTTATTACACATTTATTTTTATGAAAAATGTACTGACAAAGGGATGAATACAGCAATTTTATTTATGGATGTTTCAAGTGATCGTCTTCGTTATACTGAATTATAATTTACTTAGACTACAAAAATATTGAATGTTTTGTCTTTGCTTGTGTTATAGTTTTTAAACTTAAAGAAATCACTTTTTCTGCATAGATGTAACATGTTCTTCATAAACAAAGCAATATAACATGTTGACTGCCATGTGCCATTAGGGGAAATGCTTCGAACTCCATCCCAATTAGGCATCTGCAATACTCAAATTTTTTAAAAATGTATTTCTGCCACCAGTTTGGCTGTAGAATATTATAATTGTCTGGTTTTATTTTAGTTAACATAAGACATTTCATTATTACAATAAGATCAAATGTTTTTTTGTTCAATGCTAATAGAAACCATCAGATAGCTTAAAAAATTGCATTACATATTCTGGAAATAATTCAAAGTGCATATCCTTTCATTCAGAAAAAAGGATAAAACCATTGAACTGGTAGTTACAGGTTTGTGCCTCACCAATGAGCTGGCTACAAGGAATTTCCAGGTTTTCTTCATGTTTAAATAGGAATCAGTTTCCCAAAGAAAGAGGAATCTCCCCTCAATAGATTGCCATATCCTGCCAAACCAAACTGATCATAAAATCTGTAATGCCAAATACTGCAAAGAGAATTGGGACTGAAGATGAATTTTATTATTTAAAAGACATACAAACTCACCATAACAGCTGATAAAGCCATGTTGAGTATGCACAAAAAGTGAAGAAAATGCTGCAGAACAGTGTTAAGCCAGCTTTTTGCTTAGCTGTTTCAACAAAATATCAAATTTTTATTAAGTCACAAAAATATTCTTAACAATATCATTATTTTCCTGTGAATATTCCTGGTGCCCTAGCTTGTTTGAATTAAGACCAGAAAATATTACCTATTTCAACTCCTTTCCAAAAGTTTAAAAACACTTCAACCTCAGCCTGTATTATATTCTTAACATCATGGCACAATAAGGTTTTTGTGAGAGGAGTTGAAATTATATGTTCAATAAAATTTGTTGCACACATTTTCCTTGAAATAATTTCACTTCTATTGGTGTGATCCGGGTGAAGTTCATGTTTCAAAAGCATAGAAATACATGAATAAAACATTTAAACGCAAGTGAAAATGCAGTATTAAAGCAAGAAGCACCTATGCTTGTGGTCTTAAAGCAACAATCTTTGCTTTTACTTTGAGGGTTAATTTTGGTATTTAAATTATTTTTAAAATGGGAAATGAGGTAAGATTGACAAGCACATTCACCATCCAACTCCCTGCAAAACATTAAAATGATGCCTAATTAAACATATACAATATCAATGAATCTGGCTATTCTGGAACAAAACTTGTATCAGAGGTGACTGGAAATCAAAGATTCAGGATCTGTCTGTACTGCAACCAATAAAAGCTGTAATAAAATATTAAGACGTCTGATGTCATCATAACACTATGCACTATATACTTCCTATTTTATACCAAGTTATATAGATTGTCTATTCTAATACTACTACTGATACTATAGGACCAGTTTTTAATTTGTTGTAATATGAATACTTGAATGTTTATTGCAGTCTGCAGATTAAAAATCACTGATATCAAACTTCTGAATTATATAAAAGGATCAGCTGCAAAACATTTGAACTATTTTACAACTATACATATTTTATTAAATACGTTCAAATAAATTTTTANACTTACACATACAAAAATCCCAGGAAGGCTTGAAGTTTTCCGTCTATCACAAATTTGGCAATATCCCACCCATAATACCGGCCACAGCCTGTCAACCGCAACAATATGTTAATGCGGCCATAGCCCCCTTGATCAGACGGGCTTTCGTACTACCATCGACGCAACATCTTATCAATGCCGAACTAGAAACTGTCCGCACAGCGGTGTACGCAGCGGGATATACTGCCTCCAAATACATCCATGTTAAAAATAAGGTCATACAGTCTCTCTTCCCTGCCACCACATTGCGCAGACCAAGAGATTGGACAACGCTCCGTCCCTCACTCCCATACTGTGGACACTTCACAGCCCGGATCTGCCGGATCTTTAGGCAGAATGGCTTTCGTTTACCTATTGCCCCATGACCATGTCTGCGACGAATTTTGTGCAACGACAGAGATGCTACTTCCACCCTGGAATAATTGAGAAACTTGAATCATCATCAAATATCTTATAATTTTTACAATTAAAATGTATAATGGTTTCTTCTTTTAAATATCTATTTTGGGAAAATATGTCTATTGTTTTCTGCTTTATTACAGGTACGTAGAGGTGTATTTTTCTTTAATCCAAGAAGTTTGGGCTTTTTGACTCATTCATTATTGGTGGTAGAAATTATTGAAAAAAAGTTCATATCAAATTTGAATGCTACAGGATTTAAAATTTTTGCTGTTCTGGTTTTGGAGGAGAAAGTTTTTGGTATAATATACAATTTATATATTTTTATTTGTAAATAATACTTTGATTATTTTAATCAAATGTATATCGTATTAAGTAATTGAATTTATATTATGATATACCCAGCATTGGTTGCTGTGGGAGAATGTGTTTATCATTCAGATTGCCGTCTAGTATTAGACTGGCTTGCTGCCAACAAATGAGTATCCTTTATATACCCTCCAGACAAACATTCTAGAATGTTCTTGATACTTCTAAAAGGAAACTTTGAGAACTAACTCTATATCCAAACTATGATCTTTCTTCAACAACAATCCATGGTCATATAGTATAGTATAGTAAGCAATTGATAACTGACCATTAATTTGTTGTTATAAGAAGAAATGGAATAAATGATTGATATTGAATTATTCATTTATAAAATGTAATTTCAGATTTGTTGTTTAAGACAATTTATTTTTTACTTTAAATTTTATTCCTAAAGCCTCTGGAGTATCCAACACTCACTCACCCCATTAAGTACACCACAATAATATATACAAAGATTCAAACCATTTATACCGATCCAACATATTGTATTACATAGTTTTATACAAAAATCATCCAATGTAATTGTTTTGAAAGATGTTACAAATAAATATTTTGAATAAAATTTAAATTATTATATAAATATGCTTTCATTTTACCATATTAATTAATAATTGTTTATAATCTGAATTCTTGAGTATAGTTTTTATTTAATAAAATTTTGAATCAATTATTCTTAAAATTGCATCTTGCTACCTGTGTTAGATTATTTACCAAATACAGTAATATAATTATTTATATAAATTACTTTACTTTTACTTAGTATTTTTTCACAAATTCTTTTTTCCCCCTCTTTATAATACTGAATATTTTTATCTTGTGTCAAACTTTATTTTGACACAAGACTGATTACAGTCCAAAAGTCTTTGAAAAATAAATGAAACATTTATTCTGTTATTCAGTACAGAATTTATTGAAATTTAGTATGTTTATAAGATAAAAAAAATAGCAATACTACTTGTTACAACTATGTATATACTACATTTCTCTATTCTACACATCATGCCATCAGTACTAAATTATTTGACTGCCTGCCTCCAAAAATAAAAGCCTTGGAAACAGGAAAATAGGATATGTGACATGATTATCATTTTCATGGAAATGAAAGTGCATAGGAAACAACTAGGGCAGGGATGGTCAATCTTTGGCAAGCATGTCCAAAGTGGCAAGTTGGGTGAAATCATCTGGCACATAATGTATCATACTATTCTGGTTTATCACCTGTCTTTCAATCATCCTTTCAATTTATCACCTCATCATTGCTTTCAATCAGCTTTACATTTATCATTATTAAAGCATATTCATCTCATTCCTTTATTGTTATTTGAAATCTAAAACTTTGACATGCACAAACATTTTTAAGGATAATTATTCTCATTATATGGCATATGGATGCAAAAAGGTTCACCATCCCTGAATTAAGGGTATACCAGGTAATTGAGGGCCAGATTAGCAAAATTATGCATACAAAAACAATCAATTATGCTATTAAATTGATACCAAAAATTGTTTCAATTACCAAAATAAAATTTTGCTGAACTTTTTTCAATTTATTCATCGATAGTCATTATTTTCTTATATACTATTCTTGAAATTTATTCTTAGAAAATGCAACCTTAAAATTTCAAAGTTCTCTCTTGATATTTTAAAATAATTTTCAGCTATGACTAAGTTATTTTTTTATTAGTCAAAAGGAGTGTGTTGACCTTTTGTTTTCATCTCTTGAAATTGTAAAAATGCATTTCAGCGTTAGTATATCTATAATTCATTCAACATCAATTAAATTTAATTTTTCCTTAAACAGTTTTTATCATGTTACAGTCAGCTAATTTTGATTAAAAAAAGTTAATTTAAAAATTTTTATCTTTGTCAAAGTAGTCTAGAATATTACTAAAAATTATAAAATTATTTTTTCCTTATTAAATACACAATAAAAAATTAGCTTAAACAGCTGACAATAGTTGACTAAGGAAATAATTTCATTCTTAAAAAGTCTGCTCTTACTAAAAAATGTCTTCTTCTTCTTAAGTTGAAACTTTCAAATTTAATATTAAAGATAGAAAATGCTGATTCATAACTAGATTTCAGATTCCATTCAGATTATTAAAAACTATTATAATCTGATTTTTTTAGCATATGAAATAATCATTAGTTTATATCTCTGCAAAAGATTTTTTAATTTAAATGTAAAGTTCCTATTCTAATATTAATGTTAAATTGCAATTATTTCAATATTTTTTAAAATACATATTGATGGTCTTTCTTTCTATCTGTTCTATTTACAGTACTTCATTTTTTTTCATTTCTGATATTATTAATTTCTTTAATATTTTCAGTTTAAAAGTTTTTTTGTAAAATTATTTGTATATATCACTCACCATAAATGTATCATATTCAAATTTATGTCGATAATTAAGATGACTTATGAAATGAATACTTCTTTGGTCAGGATTACCCCATGGCATTGATGCACATACTGGACAAACCTATAAAACAGATACGAAAGAAAAATTACATTGAATGATATATAAAATCTTTACTAAACACTTCTTTTTCAGAAGTTATGAAAGATTATAAATTTAATATCAACAAATTAATACACAAAGCATGATAAAAAGAATTATTTTCATTTTAATGATACATTTTTGTTTTTAAGTTTTGTATATTTCAATACAACAATCAATTTATATAAAGAAAATTTATTTTGAATTATCATTAAAGCATTAAGTCAATGCCACATTATTTAGTAAATTATCAAATAATGTTCAAGCTAATTCCTGTTATAAAACTTATTAATTAAAAAATTAAAAAGGTCATAGACAGAAAAAAATCCTTGAGATCTTATTGTGTTATAATGATTTTTACATATTGCACTTAAAGAAATCAGCAAATCACTTATTTTTAATAAGTAAATTGCCAGTTTCAATAATTATTATTATTGATATAATTATATCAATATTATTGATTCACAATACAGTTTGATCCTCATGCCAAATAATAAATCAAAGGAAGGACAACTCACTGAGTACAGCATTAATGGCTTTTATATTGATAGCTCTTTAAATGAACTTATATATATAATAATACTGATATATTATTGATTATATTATTACTAGTTGTATTCATTATAACTGTAATAATTATAATATAATTATAAAAAGTAAATGAGCTTACCACTGATTCTGTTTCCATTTCATGGTTTCTATTGCAATGTTCTCTTAATGATTGCAAGTCAAAATTTTTCATTTCACAATATGGACAAGGAAATGTCTTTCTATTGGGTACAGCACTGCAAGATTGCATTGTGATATTTTCAGGAAGAGATGGTGTTTTCTCATTAGGACTGACTTTTTTGCATTTATTCATATGATTTCTTAATCTTGATAAACACATCTAGTATAGTATTTAAAAGATATTATAATTATTATTATAATAAAAACTTAATAAAAAAATTTAAATGTAAAGTTTAAACTTATAAAAATCAATTCTAAATCAAAATTAGGATTCATAAAATGTTTAAAATATCTATTTGTACAGTACTTATTCATAATTTTTAATTTTTTACTAATCTTGCACAATTGTAAAAACTGTATATTAATAAAATAAAAACATAAAATATATACTGTACTTATTATATTGATATTATTCAATAGTAAGCTATTATTATTAATTTCTTTATTTTCATGAATTAATTTAATTAGTTAATAATAATAATAATTAAATAAGCTTTATAATTACATAGATTATAATTAAAATCACACAAATCAAATATGCAANAGTGTTCAGTGGTTTTATCCACTCGGCCACTGGTGAGCCATTTAGTAATGTACTCGTTAGTATTTTTCTTGTAATAATTAAAATTTATTTTAATTTAATCACAGTAGGATTCACTCATAACTTCTGCAAATATATTAACAGTTATGATATACATGGTAATTATAATTAAAAAAATTCCCATTCAATGCAACCAAATTTTGCATGCTGACATTTTAGGACATGTGAAAGAGATTTTCATGAGGAAAAATTTGGTACCAAAACTCACCACTACAAGACTTTGGCACTACATACCACAAAAACATGTACTATATTTATAATGCATACATGCTAGGCAATTTCTAGATATAAAATTGGTCATGGCCATGGCATGTGAAATGACAATCACATTAAAACAGATCAGCTGCAATGGTCAAGAGGGACTTTGCTGGAATGCTCTTTTCTTAAGAAGCTGTTTTATGAAATCAATGATAATGCTGTATGTGTACATGAAGTTTCAATACTCCAATACCATTGTGCAGAGGTTTTTTTTAACACTATATGCTCTCAGAAGAATGATCATTCAATTTGGAGAAACTGGATTTTTGTATGTAAAATAAAAATAAGGGAACAAGCCTATTGCTACACAAGTAGTGGAAGATGTTGCCACAGCCTTTGTAACACTCAATGCACTGACAGCAGGTTACAAAAGTGGACATGCAGTGTCACAACAGTTGGTTGTGCCATAGTAACTGTGTGGAAAATACTGAAAAAGTTTTGCATTTCTTCCCATACAACATCAACCACATCCAACTGTTGTTTAACAGAGACACAGAAACTTACCTGATCTTTTCATTGAACTTCTTTGCTAGAATGAAAGTGAATGATGCTTGGTTGTGAGATCTTGTGGACTGATGAGGCACATTTTACCTTAACAACAGTAAATATCCATAATTGTCTTATTTGGGCTTTGCAACATCCACATGCACTGTCAAGAGATTCCTCTGCACTTATCCAAACTCACAGTGTGCTGTGGCTTTGCAGCCACATTTATATTTGATCTATTTTCCTTTGAAGAGGCCAATCCTACAGGCCTGTGGACTTATTACTGTTATTAGAATTATCATCATTTATAAACCAAATTTATTTTAAAAAGTTAAGCAGAAAAACTTTTTAATTTTTGTTTTAACTTTAACACTTTTTATTTTATTTATAATTAAATACAAGATAACTTCTTAAGATTTTGAAAATATTAAAAATTTACATATCACTTTTAATAATTTACTTTTCATCTGAAATTACAAAAACTTTTATATACAGGAATATCCCAGTTAGTTAGTGTGTTTCAGAAAATTAGTGTATTAATCAAGGAATAAACTGAATAGGAAAATTAAGGATTCATTTGAAAAGGGTTTTCTCACTTTAAAAAATTAAAGACTAATTTAATAAAAGATCATTATCCATTAAAAAAAATTACAAGATGAATTAAATTTTTAAATGTTTTTACTTAAAGAGGGAAAACCTATCCAATGTTTAGATTAATTTCCCCTTTTCTATATGAAGTTCTCACTATTGCAACCAAATTATATTTCTTCTTTTGCACAAATGCTACATTCTTATTCAAAACTAGGCCAGAAGCAACCTTTAAAAATATTCACAAAAAAGTCCAAATTGTGTGACATTAAAAGATAACAGATAGGTAGTGGGAATGAAAAACTAAATTAAGTGCTACTAGCATTTTGACAATTTTTCTCAATTAAAAATGGCAACATTGCTGCCAGCAGTACATATGACAGTATTTTTTTGCTTTCAACTTTTTAATCACTTAATAGGTCACTTATTAGCAGGGCTGTGGAGTCGGAGTCGTGGAGTTTTGGTGTTTTAGCCGGAGTCGGGTCGGATGATAAGGAAAAGTCGGAGTCGGTAGATTTTTACGCAACTCCACAGCCCTGCTTAATAGGTATCATACTTATGTACAAGTACACATTTCTCTGTACTTTTCTAAAATAATATATTATAAATTTATTTTAATAAAAAATTGTATAACTTAATGGCACATTTAAAATGGTTTTGATCCATTTTTTATAACTAACTTACATTTATATTATGTTTTTGTAAAAATTTATTTTTAAAACTATAGTTATGCATTAAATCTTCTATATATTTTAGGATGCATTTTAGTGAATCATTGTGCTTTAAACAAATCCTATGCCACATAATATAAACTGTAATATAGTGAATCAAACACTAAAACTACACACTAAGCAAGTATTCCTGTAACCAATTAAATTAACTTACAGTTTCTTGGCAGCCAGGACATGATCCATTATGTGAAGATATTTGTTTTTGAATATCAGTAGCTTTTTTTATTTTTGAAAGATCAAAAGTCACACGACATAATGGACATGTAGAAGAATTTTTCTCCTTTTTCTGTATGTCAGCAACAGAAGTTATACAAACTTTACAAAATCTGAAATATAAAACTCGTTAACAAAATTTCAATTATAAAAACAATTGTAAAAGAAACAATATTTAAACATTTATACTCCTATATAATAATTCAAAAAATTAATAACTTTCTATGTAATAATTTTAAATAAAATTCTAATTCTAATTTGTAAATCCTAATTTTCTAATTTGTAAGATTCTTAGATCTAACATCAGTATAATGATGTTCAAAGTGTACTTTTGGAGTCTGTTGAGAGAGAGAACTTTTTCACCATAGTAAAGTGCAGGGGTCACCAAACTTTTTCACAGCAGGACACACAACTGAGAGAATGACAAGCATGGGCTGCATAACCATTTCGTTCAATACATTATACTGAATACACAAAAAATACAGACAACCAACATATTACCAATACACAAACATGATCGTTGCAGCAAGCTCATAATCACTTTTCTTACAAACTTCATTCTGTGTATTTACACAAAAAGTGCTCTGATATCCAAAGTCGCCAAAACTTTTATTTCACTGATTTTCCTAAAAATTATATTACTGTCAGATGCAAAAATCAGATTGGACCAATTTTGGCATTTTTACTTACACTTATTTTAATTTTTTTCTACATAGTAAGTGTAAAGTAGTGACCTTTTAGCAGAGTGGGAACAAAAGAGGCGAGACCTTGTCAATTGGACCCACGTGGGGTCGGGTAATACCACTTGTAAGGTATTGACTTGTAAACAAGGGAAAACAAAGGAAGCGCCGGCGTTGCGACTTGGGACTAATTGGACCCACCTGCAGTCAGACGTTAGTACATTTGCCATATGGTAAACAAACGAACGTAAACAAGTGGCGAACGTTTGTGTAAGCTTCACTCTTGTTGGATGACGGCGGACCCGAGTGTAAGCTGTTTGGGCAAGAAGGGGTTGTGATTGGTCGGAATTTCCCGTCCAAAAAACCCTTAAATTGCGGGGCGAACGAGAGAGGAAGAGAGAAGGGGCAAGAGACTGGTACACGGTAGTCTCAGGCACTTGGGTAGCCTGCTGAGCGTAGAGAGAGTGTTCTCCTCTGTTAATCATCTCAGGGACGGGTTAGTGCAGAGACTGGACCAACCGCGCAGTTGAGCCAACTCCACAAGCTGACTGAGGTCTCTCCAAAGGTTATTAGTTCCCAGACGCCAATCTGGCACATGAATCACCACGCATGGTCATCCTGTACATATACTATGTTTTCTAACTTGTACTTTCTACAACTGTAAATAAACTGTAAATATATTCAATTTGAGTGTGGAAATGTGCTTTCCAACGAACCTGATTCACTACATCGAGTCGTGATACACAGGAAACCAACTCAACGAGACGGAGTTGGGAAAGAACGGCAATAAGATCTTCACTGTAAGTTTATCTATAATCTATGATATTTCCATAGAAATAATTATATTTTAGCTCATTTGTGGCATAATGCAGCAGCAGGCCAGATCTGGCCCTTGAGCCATAGTTTGGTAACCTCTGGTATAATGAATCAATGAGTATAAAAACTTCAATGATTCAATAAGAATTGTTTAGAACTGAAGTTGGAAAATTTCTGACTGAATAAATTATACCAATTGTATTCAAACTGCATTCTGTAAAATCCTGGGATTCTGCATAGATATTTATAAAAAATTTTTATTTTCATTATATTCATTAAAAATATTCAAAACTAAACATTTCTACACTATAATTTACCTTGTTATAAGAAGCCTTATTATTTAGTGAAGAAAAACAACACTAAAGTCTTTTTTACATATTATTATTACAGTTCTGCAAAAATAATATTCAAGCATCAGCAGATGTTAAAGACCATTAGACTATAATAATTAATAAAAATAAGATCAAATTTTAAATTCTGGTTTAAACAGCAGTTGAATCACTGTAATTTATATACAGTGGTACCTCAGGATATGAAATTAATCCATTCCGAAACTAAGATCATATCATGAAAATGTCGTAAGGTGAATAATTTTTTCCCATACAATTACATGTAAAACCAAATAATTCGTTCCAACACAAAAAACACTCAAATTAATGCTAAGTAGTACATTAAAAAAAATAACTATAGTAAGGAAAACACTGAAATAACATAATGTAACAATAACTTAAAAATAACTTAGAAAAGACAAAAAAAATTATTGTTGTTTTATATATATATACAGTGGAACCCTGGTTAACGAACGTAATCCGTTCCACGAGTCCGTTCGTTAACCGAATTGTTCGTAAACCGAAGCAATTTTTCCCATAGAAATTAATGCAAATACAATTAATCCGTTCTAGCCGTCAGTATTTTTGTAATTTTATTTGTAAAATGGGTTTTATTTAATGAAAATATAGGAAAACGTGCTCATAAACAGTCGATCTAGGTTAAATTTTCGGAAAAGGGGAAAGATTTAACGGGTATAAAAACATCACATACGATCGTTAAAGTTCTAAAATGACAGATAGCAGAAAGAATAGGCTAAATTATGAGCGAAAGGCTTATAGGTTTATCAACAATCTCTGATCAGAGTCGACGAACAGGTGTCAAATAAACGCCTCCGAACAAACCTTTCTCGTGACCTGATCTGGTTTCAGTTTTCACCTGGAGACAATGAAGAAAACAATCGGGAAGCGAGGAATGGGACGCAGGACTAATCGTAAGGTGAAATTCAAGGAAGAAATACTATAAAAAC